CCGAAGTGAGTTGAGTGAGTGAGCGAGTGAGTGAGTGAGGCTCACTCGCTTACTCACTCACTCACGCACTCACTCATTCACTCACTCACTCACTCACTCATTCACTCACTCACGCACTCACCCACTCACTCACTCACTCACTCACTCACGCACTCACTCATTCACTCACTCACTCACTCACTCATTCACTCACGCACTCATTCACTCGCTCGCTCGCTCACTCACTCACTCACTCATTCACTCACTCACTCACTCATTCACTCAGTCACTCACTCACTCACGCACTCACTCACTCATTCACTCACTCACTCATTCACTCACTCATTCACTCATTCACTCACTCGCTCGCTCGCTCACTCACTCACTCACTCACTCACGCACTCACTCACTCACTCACTCACTCACTCACTCATTCACTCACTCACTCGCTCGCTCACTCACTCACTCATTCATTCACTCACTTTCTCACTCATTCACTCACGCACTCATTCACTCACTCACGCACTCACTCATTCACTCACTCATTCACTCACTCGCTCATTCATTCACTTGCTCACTCGCTCACTCGCTCACTCGCTCAGTCACTCACTCGCTCGCTCACTCACTGCTTCACTCACTGATTCACTCACTCGCTCACTCACTCACTCACTCACTCGCTCGCTCACTCACTCACTCATTCACTCACTCACTCACTCACTCATTCACTCACGCACTCATTCACTCACTCACGCACTCACTCATTCACTCACTCATTCACTCACTCATTCACTCACTCGCTCACTCGCTCACTCACTCACTCACTCATTCACTCACTCGCTCACTCGCTCACTCACTCACTCACTCATTCACTCACTCACTCGCTCGCTCACTCACTCACTCATTCATTCACTCACTTTCTCACTCATTCACTCACGCACTCATTCACTCACTCACGCACTCACTCATTCACTCACTCATTCACTCACTTGCTCGCTCACTCACTCATTCACTCATTCACTCACTCATTCACTCACTCACTCACTCACTCATTCACTCATGCACTCATTCACTCATTCACTCACTCATTCACTCACTCATTCACTCACTCACTCACTCACTCACTCACGCACTCACTCATTCACTCACTCACTCACGCACTCACTCATTCACTCACTCACTCACTTGCTCACTCACTCACTCATTCACTCACACACTCACTCACTCATTCACTCACTCACTCACTCATTCACTCACGCACTCACTCACTCACTCTTTCACTCATACCTTCCTTCCTTCCTTCTTTCTTCCTCATTCCTTCATTCATTCACTTAGTCATGGACTCATTCACTCAACAAATATGTATTAAGGGCCTACTCTGTGCATACTGGACCCCTCTTGTGCGCACCCCCCAGCCTTCAGCTGCCCACACCCACATCCCCCTCCAACAGGTCTGGCCCTCTCAGGGACTCTGAGAATGGAGCTGAACCAGGCCCCTCAGGTGGGGTGTGCCCATCATCTATCAGGGTCGTGGGAGGGTCTGGGGCAGGCTGCAGTTGAGGCATGGGTCTCCATCTCTGCACCCCCTAGTCCGCACCGGGGCCAAAGTCTGCCACTACCGCATCTCCACGGTGGCTGACGGCAGCCTATACCTGCAGAAGGGCCGGCTCTTCCCCAGCCTGGAGGAGCTGCTCGACTATTACAAGGCAAACTGGAAGCTGATCCGAAACCCACTGCTGCAGCCCTGCACACCCCAGGTGGGCCCCTGCAGGTCCCCTACCACCTGCCAGGCTGCCCCACGCCAGGCCTGAGACACCTGTATTTGGGTGCTACCTCAGGACCCTGTCTCAGAGTCACTGGGGGAGTCAGACAAGCAGCTGGCTTCTGGTGCTGCCCATAGCTGGGAGCACTGGAGTGTCCCAGTGATTTCTCCAGCTGGTTTGGGCCCTGACCCAGGGCCAGACTCTGCTTGTGACAGGTGTTTTATCTCCTTCTCTAAGGCTAGTGGAGAAAGGATGCTGGGGATTCCTGGACAGCAGGGAGAGGGGCAGGGGCTGGCTGAGGAAGGAACCCACAGCTGCCCCAGGACCCGAGGGCAGAAGCTGTGGGAGGAGATGCTGACCCTTGGATGCTGCACCTAGGCTAGAGCTGCAGAATCTCCAGGACTGTCCCTGATGAGCCATCCTGCCCAGGGCCAAGGCAGCAACCTGGTTTCTCTGGTCTCATAATGACAGCCTAGCCAAGGGCAGTAATGAGTGTTTGTGGACGGATGTCTGTCTCGGGCACAGGTGCCACTTAGGTGCCTGAAGCAATTAGCTCCTGAACACTGGCCAGGCTTCCTGAAGGGTGGGTCACCCTCCCAGCCTTCCTGTCCGTTTCTGCTTCCTGGGGAGCAGCTGGCAGGCACTAAACACCCCCTTCCTGCAGAAGCCCCTGGGGCAGGACCAGTGGGAACGGCCACGCTCCGAGTTTGCCCTTCACAGGAAGCTGGGTGAAGGCTACTTCGGGGAGGTGTGGGAAGGCCTGTGGCTGGGCTCCGTGCCTGTGGCAGTCAAGGTCATCAAATCAGGTGAGGCCTCGCCTTGGTCTTGGGGCAGGGACAGCAGGTGGTGGACGGGTCTTCGAGTGGTGCCCTCTCCCACAGCCGACATGAAGCTCGCCGACCTCGCTAAGGAGATCCAGACGCTGAAGAGCCTGCAGCACCAGCGGCTCATCCGGCTGCACGCGGTGTGCTCAGCAGGGGAGCCTGTGTACATCGTCACGGAGCTCATGAGCAAGGGCAGCCTGCAGGCCTACCTGGGCAGTGAGTGCCCTGCCTGCTGGCCTGCCCGGTCAGCCCTCGAGGGTCTTTGGAGATGGCCCAGGCTGCAGGCACTGTCCCTGTTTGGAGCCTGGGGTCTGGGCCAGGCCTGGACTTATTGAGGGACAGTCAGAGCCTTGCGGTTCCAGGGCGGGGCTGGAGTCCAGCTGGGGGGTCCCTTCTCCCTCTGGCCCTTCCATGCACCTGTTCTCTGTTGGGGGCCCGAGAGGCCACTGAGTGATCCTTGGTGGGTACAGGACCCTCTTCCTGTCCCTCTTGTTGCCCCTGCGGCCTTAGGGGATGGTGCTGTTCTCCCACAACCTCAGAGATGAGTAGACAGGCACAGAGGTGAGGTGACCTGTGCAGGTGCCCCTGCCCCGTAAGGCTCCTGCCCTGTCATGCATGGCCTCTGAGCCGCATCCACCCCACAGGCCCTGCGGGCCAGGCCCTGAGCCTGCCTCTGCTGCTGAGCTTTGCCTGCCAGGTGGCTGAGGGCATGGGCTACCTGGAGCAGCGGTGCATTGTGCACCGGGACCTGGCTGCCAGGAACGTGCTCGTGGGTGACAACCTCGCCTGCAAGGTGGCCGACTTTGGCCTGGCCAGGCTGCTCAAGGTCAGTGGGGCTCCAGGCCCTACCCCTGGGGTGGCAGGGACAGGCAGGTGGCACCACTTGCTCCCTGCCCACCGCTGGCCTCCCCCTACCCAGGACGACATCTACTCCCCGAGCAGCGGCTCCAAGATCCCTGTCAAGTGGACGGCGCCCGAAGCGGCCAATTACCACATCTTCTCTCAGAAGTCAGATGCCTGGTCCTTCGGTGTGCTGCTCTATGAGGTCTTCACCTATGGCCAGTGTCCCTACGAAGGTGGGTCACAAAGGAGCCGAGGAAGCAGGCACACCTGCCCTGGGCAGCTGATCCGAGAGAGGAGGCAAGGCCTTGTGGGGAAGTTTAGTCTGAGGGAGGAGGCCCAGCCTGCCCTGGTTATGGCTGACCCCGGAGAGGGCTCCAGGCCTCAAGGCCACCCACTGGCCAAGGGCAGAGCAGTGATGCAGGAGGCTGGGGCTGGGAAGTCTCCATGGCCGCCCCCAGGCAGAATTGAGGCAGTGCCCACCTGGCTCCTCTCACTGGCCCCTTCCCCAGGAATGACCAACCACGAGACACTGCAGCAGATCGCTCGAGGGTACCGACTGCCACGCCCGGCTGCCTGCCCTGCGGAGGTCTATGTGCTCATGCTGGAGTGCTGGAAGGGCAGCCCTGAGGAGCGGCCCACCTTTGCCATGCTGCAGGAGAGGCTGGGTGCCGTGCACAGGCGCCTCCACCTCAGCCTCATGTGACCCAGGGCTCTGGACCCTGCAGGGTGACCCCCCCAGGACAATGATTACCATCAACATGAAGGTACAGCTGGGAACCGGACCAGCCCATGGAGCCTCTGGCTGTGGGCCTCACACACTGATGCTGGCTGACATGCACATGCATGTGCACACGCGCAGACACACACAGACTGTGTTCATTTGCCACAGACACTCACCCCACCAGTGGAGGGGGCTGAAGTCCTCTGTCCCACATGACCCGTGTCCCTGGCATCTCGAGAGGGACTGGTGGAGCTTCAGGAAGACGCTGGGCAGAAAGGCCTCTGTGCCTGCACCTGCTGCCCTGGGCCTGCTGACTCCCTCTCAGGGTCAAGAGCGAGGGGCCCTGTTTTCTCTGAAGTCTCACTGGTGGTTTGTTGAAGCAGCCAGTGCTGTGGCTCCCAGGCAGACCCCGGGCATCAAGGTGCTGTGCACATGGGGACAGCACCATCTTCTGCCTCTCCACAGGCACAAACCCAGGCATGCATGCATGTGACACTTGATAACTGGGTACTGACTGACTCAAACACACAGACAGTCACACTGCTCATCCCCTGAACCCAGAACCGGGCATTGGAGCTGATGGGGGCAGTCCACTGGCTAGAGCTGACCCCACATGGGCCAGGCCTCCACCCCCGGCGTCACGGTGCCCAGAACAGGGGACCCAGATGCAGCGTGGACCCCTGGGGTGGGGGCAGGACCTGGCCAGGCTGCAGGAGCTCCTGGGCTGAATGGAGTGGACAGGCTGGGTGTGAAGAGGGAGGGGTTTGGACAGGCCGTGGGGAGGCCCAGTCAGGGCGGTGAACTGTGAGATCATTCTCAGAGTGGGCAGTGGTCAGGGAGGCAGAGTCTCCTGGGTGCGCAGGGTCGGGGGTCGGGGGTAGAGGTGGGGGATGGGTGCTGAGGTGTGCTGGCAACTGGGTGACAATAAGCTCTCTGGAAAAAAGCATGGGTTAAGCAGAACGTTCACAAGTACAGACATGAACACTCGGGAGGCCACCAAGTGAGAAGCTGGGCAAAGACTTGCACAGTTGACCCTATTCCTAAGCCCAGTTCAGTCACCAAGAGACAAATTGAGGGCAAGGGGGCTGGAGGTGAACCAGGGCGGGCACACAGGGACTGGTGGGGCCTGCCTTTGGGTTTCTGAGACCCTGCCCCAACGCTCCTGGGAGCCCCAGATTGGAAGCTGTGTCCTGGGCTTGGGCCACCTCTGGCAGCGTCCCTTAGAGGGAATGGAGCTTAGGGTCAGCTCTGCACCTGCGGAGGCCAACGAGCTAATCGCCACTGACCACAGGCCTTCCTGTGGGAGCTGGAAACGGGACCCCCGAGTGCACAGTGACCCCCCAGGTAGGGAAGAGGATGCTCAGAGTCTCAGAGAACAGATGCTGTGCATGGCTGGTGCCATGGGGGCTCTGTGGAGGGGGCGGCAGAAGGGACACCACAGGCCGGGGCAGCATGAGCAGGGGAGCAGTGGAGACGGGCCCTCTGTGGACCTAGATCAGCCTGGCCACCTCTCAGGACAGAGCCAAGAGGGGGCAGGAGGCCCTTAGAGCCTTGGACACCAGGCTGCGGGCTGGCACCGACCCCCATAGCTGGTGTGCAAGGGGGTTTGGGCCAAGCCTCTTGGGGCCCCAGCCAGCTGGGCTACACCTCTGCCTTGGCCTTCAGGCCCTGATGTCCCACTGTGTCCTGAGAGAGCCCAGAGGAGGGGCTGGCTCCGGCACCCGGCCCAGGAAGGCGAGGCCAGTTCTGGGTGCTTCCCCAGCAAACGGAGCAGCAGCCTCGCCGTCTGTGCCCTCTGGGGGCTCTGTGCTTCCTGAGTCTGAGCTGAGATGGGCACTGCTGGCCCACGTGGGAGGGAATATGCTGGGATTAGAGGTGACCAGGCCGCAGAAACAGACCTGCCTGTCTGGGGCACCAGCACATTCCTGGGCCGCGCATCAGCACCTGTCCCACAGGTTTGGAGCTCCTGGGTCTCTGGGAGGGGCCGGGCTGGGGACTTTCCCATTTCCTGGTGTGGCTGAGACAGAACCTCCCTCATGTCCGCACCCAGTGATGCACCAAGGCTCCTGGACACAGCTTGGGGCCAGAGGCCCAAGGCTGGAGAGTGAAGGAGGAGGGGGCAGTGGCAGGGGGGGCATGGTGGTGATGGGGGTTGCTATGGAGCCCCTGGGCCTGACAGACACTGACCAACCCAACGCCTAGCTTCCCCTCCCCCAGCCCCCACCTCTGACCTCTGACCTCTACGCAGCTCCTTCTGTTGTTCCTTCCCCACCTTGGTCAGAACAGAGCTGGGCTGTCCAGAACATTTATGAACTTGTTGAATAATCCACGTTCCTGTTCTTAATCTCGAAATGGAGTGAAGGACAGTGCCATTTTCTCTCTTTTCAATAAAAAGAAAGTTTGGATAAGCAGAGTTTAGTATGCGATTTTCCCCAGGTCACCCATCCTTCCCCGGTCTGCCTCTTTCCAGGCTCCTGGACAGGAGCTCCCTGGGTGGGCACTGCGGGGTCAGCAGAATGTGGAGGGAGTTGGGCTGAGTCTCGGATGGGTTCACTGGGAGTGGGGGTGAGGGTGAGGGCAGGTGGGGCAAAGGCTGGGGGAAGGTCGCAATGGGGGCTTGCCAGGGATGGGTGGGGGAGGGGTGGGAGGCCAGCTAGAAGGAGCTGGGGCCCTGGGGGCCCTGGAGGGCTGGAGGAAGGAGGTGGAGGCTGCAGGGGGCCTGGTGGTGCCTGTGCTTCCAGGCCACTGAACATAGTCTGTGGAGCGCCCCCTCGTGTCCATACCAGGGAGGGCTGTGCCTGACACCTCAGCCAAGGGTCACCTCCAGAGGAGCCTGGCTGCGTCCCCTCTGGTTCCTGTCTCCTAAGAGATCCCCTGTGACCCTTGGGACCTCCTCTTCCAGGAAGTTCTCCTGGCATGTTTACTTGGTGTCGCTGCCCTTACCACCCAGGTCCCCGGCCCTCCCTGTTGGTCTCCCTGGCTGCCCTGGGCCGGGCAGGTGCTCAGCAGGCTGTTCTGTGGTGGCCCTTCCAGGGCAGACGGGCATCAAGATGTGATCTCATGTCATGATCTGTACCCCCAACCCCTTCCTGAGGGCAGGTCCTGCCAGCATGGCCACTGTAGCTTCCGGCATTGCTCAGCGTATGGGAGTGGGCTCCGTGGGTGAGGGGAGGTACTGGGCAGGTGGAGGGGACTGTCTTGGGGCAGCACTGCATGCGCTCTGCTCTGTGTGTACCAGGCGCCTGCTCAGCTCATCCTCCAGTGCCTCTGAGGTTTGGAAGGGACCTCAGAGGTGCATCTCTCCCCTCCCCTCCTCCTCTGGCTCCAAGACCCGCTCCAAGGGGGGCCCTTGGGTTCTCCTTACACCTGAGTGCCCACCTGTTCCTCCCTGTTCCCCCAGGCGTGGGTCTGGCATGTGGCTGCTTGGCCAGCAGGTTTCCACAATAGCTTGGCGTGAGTCCCGGCATGGCTTGGCCCCGGTGGATGTGAGGACCTTGGGGGCTCTGCTGGGGTGTTCTCGGGAGGCTGCGCAGAGGCATTCCCGATGGGTGCTGGGTGTGGCTGGCCTGGCTGCCTCCTCGTCATGAGGAAATGGGTGATGGCCCGTCAGGGATGCCCCGCCCACCCTCCCTGCCTCAAGAGCCCACAGTGGGCCTACAGCCCAGTCCTGCCACTGTGCCTGCCATGGCGTCCCGGGGCCAGGCTCACCCGGGCCCCAAGTACGTGGGCCTCTGGGACTTCACGGCCCGGACGGATGAGGAGCTGAGCTTCCAGGCAGGGGACCTTTTCCACGTGGCCAGGAAGGAAGAGCAGTGGTGGTGGGCCACCCTGCTGGATGCAGCGGGCCAGGCTCTAGCCGAAGGTTATGTGCCCCACAACTACCTGGCTGAGAAGGAGACTGTCGAGTCAGAGCCGTGAGTATCCTGGGGCCCCAAGAGCTCCACAGGCCTGCAGGCTGGCTTCTGGGATTCCCAGGATGGCAGGGACCCCTGGCTCCATCTCCCTGTGCCTTCTGTCAAGGCTGGGCACCCAGCTTGGTCCTGTCTCTGGACTCACCATCCCAGCACCCAGGAGCGCTGACTGGGCTGTCACTGTGTCATCTGGGGTGGGGGCCTTGGAGGATGTGGAACTCTCCCCTGTGCTCACCTACAGTCACTTTCTGATTATGGGTGTGGCTCTGCCAGTACTTAGAAAGGACAGAAGGGTCCTGTGTGGGCTTCCAGGGGCAGGCTGTCAGTGACAAGGTCTGTGTGGGAGTGAAGCTTGCTTACTTTCCAAACAGCCAAAACCAGATGTGCAACCTAGTTAAGGGAGTGGGAAGGCCACGGGGACACGCCTGTCCCGGAGGTGGATGCAGGGAGGTGGCTGAGCCAGTCGCTGTGGTGGGCATCCCCCTGGCATCCCTGCCTGCCACCCCTGGTCACCCCCATGGCTGTTCCTGTCACTTTCACAGTGGCAGCCCCCGAGGTCTGCAAGGACTAGAGGGGCAGCTGGCGTGGGTGTGTCCATGGCCACCTGAGGACCCCAGCACCTGTGGCTGCTCTGACCTTGGGCTGGGAAAGGTCCAGAGGGAGGGATCCCCACTGCCTGTGCTCACGAGGTCCACGTCTTTCTCGTCACTCACTAGTGCTGGTCGAGCACCTGCTGTGTGGGGTGTCAGGAACGCGTTTGTGGTCACCACCTGGAGGGAGGCAACCAGCGGGCAGGTGAAGCTGTGGACGGGCAGTTTTGGAGGCAGGGTCCCGTGACGGGGCCGGAGCAGGGTGCAACAGGGCGTACAGACGGCTGCCGGGTCCCAGGTGGCCCAAATGGCAGGTGCAAAGCCCTGAGAACTCAGCACACATGAGGGTGGAGGAGGAGGCAGGGTGGTTGGAGGCGTGGTGGGGGAGTGTAGAGGGAGTGGACCCCCACGGGCTCTGTGCTGGCAGTGGTCTTCTGTGTGGGGTCGTGTTCCAACAGCGTCTGAGGAAGTCAGAGACACA